AAAAATTTCACGCATCAGCGCATGAAAGCTGAATTCGAAACCTTGAAGAGTGAATATCTTTCCGTGATTCCCGAGTTGGTATTTTACCCGCCAAAATTTCACGAGACAGTAAGTAACACTCAAGAGCGCGGAAACGCTGAATTCGAATAGGCAAGGTCGAGCGTGGGCAGGGGGTCATTACCCTAAAATTTCAGCTTCCTAGTTCCTGTGGTTCCCGAGATAATAATTTACCCGTGTAAAATTTCACTAGCCCGTAGATGGTACCCGAGAGCGCGGGAACGCTGAATTTGAATGGGCAAGGTTAAGCGTGGGAGTGGGTCATTACCCTAAAATTTCAGCCTCCTAGACTCCGTGGTTTCCGAGATATTAATTTACCCACAAAAAACTTTCACCGGGCCACACGTGTTACCTGCGGGTACGGAGAAGCTAAATTTAAATTTGCGGGGTCACACGTAGGTGGGAACGTTCCCTTAAATTTTCAGCTTCATAGCTTTTGTGGTTCCCGAGTTGAAAGTTGCGGACAATTTGCTGCGGACACACACACACAGACAACCCCCCTGACAATATGCATTTTGTACTGCTGTTACACAGCACAAAACGCATAAAGACACTGCCAGTACGAGTTCAAATATTAAACCATTCATATTGTGAACGATCGGACTGCTTCACAAAAGTTTAGCACAAAAGTGCATGATCGCCCGGCAAGCTTGGTGCGTCGCTACCTGGGTTCAAAGCTGTGCACGCCGTTCTTGGAGTGCAAAGTCGACGGAAGTGCAGTTACCACATGTAACTTTGCTTTTACTGAGTGTGGCAAAGTGTCTGTCCTTGAAATTGTGTACAGCAAGCATTTTGGCGTGGTGCCATGCACTTATGAGTAGTATTCGCATATAATTTTTGTTTTTAGCGCGCAGTGGCTTGTTTACCACCGAACGAAGTGGAATGCTTTGTTGGTACTTACGAGATTTTGATGCATGCTTCGGGTGCTCAGTTCCTTAGCGGTACTAAAAGCAGCAGTGACGAAGACAGTGAAAATTATGACGATGGTGATGATGATGTTGATTATGATGATGAAGGTGGTGATGATAGGGAGGAGGAGAAGGAAGAAGAAGAAAAGGAAGACAGTAATATGACTGATGGTGTCGAAGTAAATGGAAAAGTTTAAAGCGCTGTGTTTACTCATAGTTCGAGTCAATTTTCTGAATTTAATTGTTGCATGTTTTTAAATAGGTTTTTTTTTTAATTTTTAAATTCACGTGGTCTCTTCGAGAATTCGGTCAGACAAATTGTAAAAATAAGTATAAACATTTCGTTAGCAAATCAACGTTGTCGTTGTTGTATCCTTCCATGAATACGTTATTTTGTCGTATGTTAAAGTTGGAGTTGAATTCGCCATGTATTCACTCCAAAAACTGTTGTTACAACCAAACGTTGTTGATTTCTTGTTTTCTTATGTGCCGTTGAGTTCTCATTTTTGGGTCGATCTTAACAGCTTAAGTTCTGACTTCCTTGAAATCTTCAATTTTTTTTTTTTTTTTTTGGCCGTTTCAAAACCCTCTCAGCATTTGCAGTTTAGTTTGTCATCAATTTTCTATGCCACGCTCACGTAAAGAGGAAACACGTATGATTGGGCGCACGTGATGTCACAGTAGCTTTCTAAAAAAAAAAATCTGGAAGTCACTAATGCTCTGTAGAATTTGTCCGTTTTTTTTTTTTTTTTTTGTATGTTGCAATGCCTGATGGTCTTTTTTTTAACAAACACAGTTGTTTACACACAAAATCAGTTATGTTCTTATAAGATAAAAAGAGTTCGTGGAGGTCTGCTCCTGTTGCGATATAGTTCAAACAGGTGTTCGAAAATGACTGGTATTTCACAAGCCAGGCGTTTTCTTAATGATTACTTACCTTTTATTACAATAATTACTTTCACTTGGTGTTTCACAAATCAAACAGTTAATCAGTGATAAATTACACTTATCTGTCCTTATTTTCTTAAATTACACTTAGGACTAACTCAGGGTATATAAGCAACCTTCCGTATTTGGGCATTTTTTATATAAAAACCTGAGTAGCAGGGACAGCTTCTCGTGCTTGGAAGTTTCGGTTCCCCAAAATCTTCCTTTCATGTCACTTTTGTTATGATTA